ATAGCCTAATGTTTTGTTAAGTCTCTAATGTTATTGTATAGATTTGTTTATTATATGAAATTGTAATGATCAGGAAAATTTTGACAAATAGTTTGACATAGACAGTGACAACAACACCAGTCTCCTACTTTTTGAAGTATTGTGTATAAGTTCAGGTAAACTGTTGGCATGTGATGTGGTAGTTGCCATTTGATTGGTGATATTATTAAAAATGTAAAAATCATTATAGAAAGTATGCTGCTTGTATGAAATGATCACTTGGATTTTGGAGATGTACATGTAGTTAATTTCACTAGAAAATTTAAGCATTTCCTTGGACAAGAACTACTTCTATTTTTTTTTGAAAAATAATGTAAACCAAACTTTCAATAGTAGACATAGATTTAATAAGAAAATGTCTGTAATAATGAATTGTGTAAATAGTATATAAACACACAACTTTATTGTTAAAAAAATCCTTGTTGAATCATGTTTCAAATTATGACCCGATGTTGATTTCAGATTTCATAAGTGCTGTCATTAGTTTATTAGATAAAGATATTGTTAATAAAACTTTGTTCAAGCGACTTGTCCCTAGCTAAACATTATTAAAGATATGATGGAAAAAACAGTCAATTAAAACTCTGATAAAACTATTAGTTGGGTCCAATTAGGTTTATTGTGGAATGATGACACATTGTAAAATTTGTTACCTCCCCTTACTAGCTGATATGAGTTTGTCCGATATTTTCATCCAAATTTGGATGTCATTATTCCAAGCCACAAAAGAAAAAATCGGCCTTTAAGTTTAACTTATTATTAGGAATGAACGTGAAATAGTAAAAAAAGATCTGTTTCAGAAAAAAGCTGTTGGCATTACAATAGATCTGTTTCAGAAAAAAGCTGTAGGCATTACAAAGTGAAATCAATAAATACTATACAAAATCTAGTTTATAACATCTTTAAAGGAAGATATGCTACAAATTTCAATGTAACGAAGGGTACCAACTGATGGATAACGTAAAAATATTTAACTCCAAGCCAAATTTAAGAGTAACAAGTGAGTTAATTATGATTGTGAATTAATTGGCCAATGGCACTGTTCTGGCAGAATTTCCCCATATTACACACTACATAGGGTTGCCCTAAATGGACGCATTACTCATTAGAATTTAATTTCAATTTGTCACCACTGGAATTTGATAAAATCAAATTAATCTTCTAAAACCCCATCACTGTTCCTGCAAATATGACTTCGCTGCATGTTGAAATAAAATTACAATGATATTGTAAGGAAAAATCTAAGAAAAGTTTCCTTCAATTGATCTCATATAACGAACGCCATTCTTACAATCCTTATCAATATTGTTATAACGAGACATCAAAGAGTAGCGGTATTGAAATATTGAATCTTAATTGTGAATAACATCAATTAATTACATTGATAATTCTATTGTTTCTGAGACTTACACAAATGATATTTTTTTCTTTCATCCACGCTAAAGTGCACATCATCTGAATTGATGAACCCAGTGAAGTCAAGGTAGTCGACGCAATTGTGAAGGTGGACAATATAAGGGAGAGAGACGACGGGGCACTCGAATGTATTTCCAGCCAATAAGTGGCAGTAGACTGAAGACATTTGTTGTAGAATACTGGTATGATTGTCTTTTTCTTCAGATAATTTGTCAGAGTTCTTCTTAGACAAGTTCTTGATTTAACTACAAACCTTTCATAAAACTCCAGACAACTTAATTGAAAACTTCAGATTTAAATGTCCTCGTTCCTAAAAATAGGTTTCTATTTGACTAAAATAGGAAGAAATGACTATTATTATACCGAGAAAAGATAAAATATCCGTAAAATATCATAAGGATTACACTTGTTAATCTTCACTTCAGATCAATCTTGAAATAGATACCTCATAATTCTTATTTTTCATCTTGATAAAGGATGTTAAAAGTGAACCCTTAAATTTAAAGATTTTTTACTGTAAAAGAAACCGCAGTTATCTGATATTTCTTTGTCCGCAGTACCGTTGTAGGTAAAGGGGTATGATCTGGGTTTTACTTCTGGTTCGGCTGTTTAGAGTCAACTAAATTTACAATTCAATACTTTTAAATAAAATCCAAATCATCCTTATTGAATGCATTTGTTGAAAGTTAAACTGAATTTTGAAATGGGTAACAAAAGTTGTTACACTAGAAGAGAGAAAGAACAGTGAAAAGTTCCACTCGGACTCTGCAGCGTTTAGATACAGATTTACGGAATAACCGAAATGAGATACTAGATGTCAGCATTCAGCAATACTCGACAGCTGAATCTTGTTTCAGATTGCACAACCGTATCCGTGGCAATACTGACCACAACATATGAAATACGGGCAGCTTTGATAAAATTATCTCACATGAAATAGAGAAAAAAAAAGATATCCCTTGAAAGCATGAGAAAATGCCTTGGTGTTGCCATCGACTTTAAACGTCATGTATATCTGTTCTTATCTTCATGCCAGTAGGCCTATCTTATCTGTAAGTATGAGAAGTGTAACCTTCAGTGTTTTATCTTAGTTTGGGAATAGTTTATTGATAAATATTTCATGACGTTCTGGTCTAAATATATAGAACTCCTGTAAGATAAGGCGTCACCTACTTTTATCGGGGTTATAGGGAAACCACAGAATCGTGAATTAGATAACAATTTATCCATATAACCATGTACAGACGAATTTTAGTCCGGTAACGTCATAATTTTTGCTAACCAATCATTAACACTGTATGGACTGTCAAGACACAATAATTAAAGGGACAGAGCCATTTTGTTGACCACTCATACTCCAGTCTCAGAAACGGGAATTTTTTACTAAGCTAATCAGAAATTGTCTTCACAGCTCACCGTCTAAATTTGAGCCTTCAAATCCATATCCAGAATTATCTGCGTTTGAATGTATATATAAATAGTGAGAAAAATTACTAGTTCGAAGTATTTTAAAAGGAACTTTGTGATGTTCTTACATTTATAGTACTTCTGAAGACTATTTACATATATTCCAGACTAAACTCCCCCTCCCCCCTTTTAGTCCCTTTAATAGATATTAATAAAATCATTCGATTGGTTGAAATTATTAGTGATCTTAATTATAAGGGCATGCAATTAACTTCAGATCATTGGTGATCTGTGCAGTAACTTACAGAAAAACATCTAGATGTATGAAGTAAACGTGGAATTCTGCAAAAAGATTGCAAATTGATGTGATAGAATATGTTACTCGCCGCGTGTCACAACAGTAGGCCTACATTCATTGTCCTCAACCTGACATACACAATCGTGCCATTAACATGGAACCTACATTAAGGTATCTGTATCATCTTCGTATAAAGTATCACCTTGGTTTGTGTAGCTCATAGCTATATTACTCCTAGGGATGTAGGCATATGGTTATTATGAACTGCAGCGTACAGTGTATGCCTGTCTTAAATGAATTAATAATGATAATGATATTATTATATTAAATAACACTAATTAACTTATTATTTACAACGATGATATGAAGATTTCTCTGAAGACCGTAAGCCCGTTTTTCACTTGCGCAGCCGACTGTTTTAAAATATAGGTTACGGTTTTTCTAAGAATTAAAAACTTTACGTGTTTTATCCTTGTGACATGATTACAGGATTGATAATGTCAGAGAATAAAACTATCAATCATGACACATATGCTTATTTCTGGTTATTAGCAATTGAGTTCATTACCCTACATTTCGCTTGGAGTTAATGTAAAGCGTAAAAACGTCAACGTTAACCTATATAAACACCTTACCGGATATAAATATGTATTCATGGCCCCCTCGGATGTGCCATGTTGACTTAGAGTAGGCTGCATAGTGGTAGTTACTATTGGATATAAACCTGAGCTATAATAGGTTATATTAGGGAATATCCATCATCTATATATATTGGTCACACGAGCGACCTTGGTCGGCGATTTTTGTAAAGGAAACACGTGAGATTTAAATCAAAGATTTGAGTCAGCGACAAAAACCGGCGACCAAGACTGTTCATGTGCCCGCACCCTTAGCTTGTCCTGATTGGTTTTGACAGACCCAATTGAAGTATCAACCTGTTCATATTAAATGATTTACAACAATATATATTAAGTATAGGATAAAACACATTCGAGGTCTTTATGTTATTTAAAACCTACATTCCGAGGGAATATTCATAAAAAAAACGTTCTATCATAAATAAAGCGATGGGGATTTATTTTGATTTTTAGAAAAAATAAAATAAGGGAAACAACTCTTGCCTACAAGACCTAATCGGGTCAGCAGGTTGCGACCGGTGAGCCAGACTTTAGAATATTTTAAATATCGAAACGTAACACGTAATTACGATATTTCATTATTCTCCAACCTGCACTCCCACCTGACTGGAGTCAACCACCGCGCTCTCTCATCAATACATATTATATATGTGTAGAAGGGAATTTTTCCGGTAAAGGGGTATAACTCATGTTAGCAATTTTATGAAGGAACTGGCGACCAGTGAGTAAGTTGGACTATTTGTCTGCAGGCCGAAACGTAAGTAGGAAAGAAATAATGTGTTGAATATCCATCAGCATCCGTTGGAAGCGAATGTTAACTTGTTATCTATCTACCTACCTACCTGGTGAATACTCAATTCTCTATATATCGTGAAAAGTCTTCAAGATTCATCTATAACAAGCATTTTATTTGTATGCCCATGTTAATGAGACTAAAATCCATCCCCAATCTTCTATAAGAATTTGATTAACACAAAACAAAATATGTTTTTGAAATTGACACAAATTAATAAAAGGTCCAATAACATGACTTATATTTGATTTAAAAGGATAAGGCTAATTTGACATATTCACAACAGTTTCAAGATGTCACATAGTAAAATAAGACGAGAGGGTTAGTGGCTTTATATCAGCTGACATGTAAACATTTTTATTGCAAAAATTAGTACGGTTTTATTACAGTGATAATAAAAATAAAGTTGTCCCATTATTCACGTATCAAATGATAAGTATAAAATCTTCAGATAAATAAAATGAATTTTGTAAGCCATAAAAAATGTCGACATCCATCATAATTTCCAACGAGACGAAGAGCTCTCTTTACGACCCACCTTAAATTCAACTGAATTATATGTCGTATTATCTACATTCTCGCTGTTATTTAATTGCAGTCGAATTTTACATTATAAAATAAAAAAAAAGTTTTAATTTAACCAGATCATGTTTACCTTGTATGTCATCTTATCAAGCTAAATTTTTATGTTTACATGATACGAAGTATAATGATACAGAAAATGAAATGTCAATGTTACATAGTCTGATGCTAAAATTACCTGACAATAATAATCTATATCAATATAAATAGTTGATAAACACACTGTAAAGGTCAAATGTAGCATCAGATATCTAATTATCAATCTCAAATATTCAGATAGAAATTATTATTCCAGCTATGCACTTGTGTATTGAAATTGAAATGAAAGACCTTAAAGCTAAAACAAAAGGACGTTTTATAAATTGAGCTGGATATTTCTAATTCATACTTTATTGAATTTATTAGTATCTGTATCTAACTAATCAGTTTTATGATATTTTCAATTCATACTTTATCCACATCTCACATTTCATACTGTATCTAATTAATTAGTTCTCTTTAATTCTAATTCATACTTTATCTTCATCTCACATTTCATACTGTATCATATCATTAATTAGTTCTCTTTATTTCTAATTCATACTTTATCTACATCTCACATTTCATACTGTATAATATCATTAATTAGTTCTCTTTAATTCTAATTCATACTTTATCTACATCTCACATTTCATATTGTATCTCATTAATTAGTTCTCTTTATTTCTAATTCATACTTTATCTACATCTCACATTTCATACTGTATCTAATTAA